GGGGTCGAATAGACGTTCCGTTAATCTCAACCAGCCGTCAAAAAATACCACCTTATCATCTAGCATTCATCCAGGTCACGGTTCCGTCATCCATTACTACAGACAGTTGGGATGCATCGATAACATCTGTCGGTCGAAAAATTCACACTGCCAACAGTTGGATTCGAATTAAAGATCGAAAATCATTCGTACAAGTCGCTAACTGCTCCGCATCGTCTTCGTACATTCGCCCGGGACAAAAGGTTGCATTAGCAGACCTTTTAGAATACTCGTCGCAAAATAAAGACTCCGCAAATGAATATCAATCAGAATCACCCATGCCGAAACAAAAAGGATTAGATAAAGATATAGAAGAAACAAACAGAGACAATGGAGCAGAAGATAGAGGTCTGTTTTCTTTTTCTCTAGCTAATGACATGTTGTCTGCTGAAGGTTTCCCTATTAGAGGCACTAGCGAGGCTAAGGATTGCTTAGTACCCTTGCAGGACTTCACCGACTCGAGAAAATCAGTTATCGTTACTGTCAAAAATAACGAAAAATTTTCAAAAAATCCTACTCAAAATTTGATTGAACCTTCTGCTGAAAATTTACAAACATGTCATACTCGAAATACACACATACACACTAATCTTAATTCATACACCAAATCTATTCATCACGTAAAACCAACCACACCTTCTACCGATCCTAAATTTTTAGAGCAGCTAGATTTTACCGGTGCCGACTTAGACGACAGGCAAAAGCAACAACTACGCGGATTACTATCTAAGTTTGAAGAATGTTTTTCGGATACACCTGGTCGCACAGACATATTAAAACATCACATCGATACCGGAGATTCAAGACCAATAAAATTAAGACCTTATCGCGTCTCTCCACCTCTTAAGCGTATAATTTCTGAAGAAATTTCTCAAATGTTAAAGCAAGGAATCATCGAGCAGGCTAACAGTCCGTACGCTGCGCCTGTGACTCTCCAGTCTAAGCGAGATGGTACCCTCCGTTTCTGCATCGACTTTCGCCAACTTAATTCAGTCACAGTTCGAGACGTTTATCCGCTACCCCGGATAGATGATACCTTAGATCAGTTACAAAATGCGAAATATTTTACATCACTAGATCTTAAGTCCGGATTCTGGCAGGTCGAATTAGATGATCAGAGTAAGCCTAAGACGGCGTTTGTCACTCACGAGGGACTTTATCAGTTTCGAGTGATGCC